AATCTCTGTGTTCTCAAGCAATTATTTTTACTACTTTTATGTTGAAATTTCTGAAAATTGTCAATAATTGGACATAATCAGATGTTTTTGCATTGTGGGTAGTATAACCTGTAGTATTTTAGAAAATGCTGACTTTTCTGGGAAACAATTTAAAAGATTGTACAGACCAAGAGAAATGGATGAAATAGGTCACTTGACAGCCTCCCTTATTAACTTCTGTCTCACGGCACTTACCCTGATGGCATTTCATCGAAAGACAATACTGAATCACATTTACAAAAAGGACTAGAAGTTGTAAAGATTCTGCAGGAGACAAATGCATCTGGTTAAATTTACCAGCATTGTGGAAAAGACGAGATTAACCAAAGTTTTTATCTACCACATACCAGAGGAAGTGTACGACAGATAACTAGTAAATACAATGGGAGGGAGAAAGCGCACTTCACTTGTTCACCTAAAAAGTAATTTCTTCCTTCTAGAATATTCTGAATGTATCATTAATTGGAAGATCGTTCTGAACTATGACTTAGTGTTGATGGGTTTACTTGTACCTTGGCTGTGAAGTCTTCCATATGAACAGGCAGACATGTAATACACATAACACCACAGTGTATTTACTTCCTCTTCTGGGGATTTCATCCTAGCTATCTGTCTTTATTCGTAGAGGAAGTAGAACTTTTAGGGGAGGGAAGGCAGAAAGGGAAAAAAACAATTGAGCGAGAGGTGCAGCAGGTTAAAGAGATAAAGCATATATCGCTGGTACAGCAAATACGTATGGCCCCTTTGTGCAAATTTAAAAAGACACCCTCTTTAGGAGGATGAATTACAAAAGGTGACCCTTCCTCTGGCAACTGAGGTAGATGCTACCCCTCATTTCCCGCCCCCCCCCAACTAGGCACTGGGCATAGATGACACAGCCATACACAGTGGCCCTGACCTCTGAGGAAGATAAAAATAGCTTATTGAAAAAAAGTGAGAAAACAGGAGAGCTGGATGAAGATGTGCATAATTTTATAACCTAGTAGGTGGGTCCTGGAGGACTTTGCAAAGAAAGCCTAACAAAAGTAAGGAATGGGACAATCAGAAATTAGGGAGGGGACAAAAGAGAAACTGTCCCTAATAGGAACTTGCCCTAATGGGGAGTTTATACTACATAGATAAGTAAAACTGAATTCTGTGTCATACCTGTGTATGAAATCTGAAAAATCATATATACTGTTCAAATTTACTTAATTTATTCCCCTATAACTTAGCTCACATTTTTCTTTACTTTTCTGCCAACCCCTGAAGAATTCCATATTTTAGAACAGCCCCCAAAGTGTTAAAAACTTATTTTTTTCCTAATTTTATGACCTACCTATTTCTTGACAGGCCTTAGATGAAGAGAAAATAAATGCTAATAAGTACATAGTGACTGCTCAATATTCAACACAATAATTTTTAGAAGAATAAGTAAGAATCCATATAACAATTAAAATGTAAAACATCCAATTTATTGTATGAAATTTTCTGACCTATAGATGTTGACTCAGGTAGAAGCCATGTCTGTGAGCTGAATCTGGGCTGTGGGATGCCAGTGTGTGGCATCTGGCTGAATGGAAGCGCCTGTGGCATCCTGGCCAGAAGGTACCCTCTACCAGAGCAGGAATCGTAATCTGTCTCTTTTGATGAGTATCACAAATATCTGCATTGGTATGTGGTACATAGTAGGTGCTCAGTAAATACATGTTTCATAAATAATTAAAGCTAATGTTAAGTCTCTCTGACTTACACAGAACATACAAAGAAATAGAAATATATTGAGTTGTTTTAAAAGCCATTTCTGATGATATAGAAAGAATCCACCTTATAATTACATGTAAGTAGTTGAGTTTTTTTTCTTTATATGTCCGGAAATGATTAATGGAAAAATTCTATATGGAAAAAAAAAATTCATGCAGTTGACTAGCTAATTTCTATTTAACCTTTGGATTTCAGCTCATGTCCTTTTTCTGGAAGTCGTTTTCCCAACAGCCCTGCTGTCCCTCCTCCATCCTTTCACCCTGAATCTGATGTAGGCGTTACTCTGGGGCTCCCTAGCACACTGGGCTGGGCTGGGCTGGGCTGGGCCCGGCCCCGCTGTGGTCCTTATACCTTCCATGTGCCCTGATGCACTAACTCATCTCATGTCCTATGGGCTGAAAATTTCCTGAGGGTAGTCTGGTGTCTGATTTTGTACTCCTTGGCACAGAATAGTCATTCAACAAATGTTTGTTCATTGTTTTTGTGGTACTCAATTGTAAAAGTAAAGAATGCTGAAGTTTTCTCTACTACTGTGCTTTCCTTTCACTAGGCTGCCTTTGGGTATTTGCAGAGACATCTCACTTCTTTCTATATTCAGGAAATATTTTTGGACTCTGTAGGACTGAATCACAGTCCTTACCTGCAGTGATACATGGCAAACAGACATACGTGGAGAATTGCATTGAATTCCATGACAAAGGGGGGAAAACTGTGCTGTGAGAATATGGAGGACATTCGTTATGAGTCAGGGGATCTGAGAAGGGGTTAGAACCCTGCCCGAAGAGAGCCATTTTCTCCTCTATTGGTGAATAGTTCTCAGAACAGCGCTATCCTTTGTGGGTTGCACGGTGGGCTGTGAACTGTCCCATACAAAGCACTTCCCTTCTTGACGAGAAAGAGGCATGATGACTTTCTGAAAGTGAGGGAGGCAGAAAACACATGACAGGGGAGCAGGTGAAGAAAGTAAGCAGGCACTCACTTCCCATGTGAACCTTCAGTAATGACAAGAAATAGAATTTGGAAGAGACAGCATGCTTTTTCAAGATCAGAAAGACTTGTACATTTTAAAATCAGAGGGCAAGGAATTCCTGGAAGGCAGGATTGCAAGACAGCTAAACAATGCATATCGGAATAAGAACCTTAGGTCATGAAGGCATGTGATCACAAGGAAGAGGGAGTCAGTTTAGTCTTGAAAGAAATGGTGAACATAGGGAATAGACTGTCTTCATGAAAGGATGAGATTGATCACAACTTAAAATGTATCCTGGTGCCATTTGACAGCCACTTAAGATATATACACACGTGTACTCTGCCTCACTTAGGACCCACTGAAGGGAACTGTACAGAAGATTTCTGGAAATAAAATCAGTTTTGTAAGATTTTCTAGTATAATTTTAATACTTCCCTTTCAGAAAAAATGAGCCAAGCAAAGCATGTTTGTTGTTTCATTTCTTCGATGAACATTCAAAAGCTACCTACTAAGTGCAAGGCACTGATGCAGAGATTTAAAGGCGGTTAATTTTACTCCTGTGTTCCCTCCACCACCTGGTCCTCTTTCTGGAGGAGTGAAAACAAGCAACAGTGTCTAGCATTAGAGAGACTTCAGCTGCTCACCATACGTTAAGCTAGGTCGTGGATGTCTTCTAACCAGGACAAGTTGAACAATAAAATCACTGTTTTTTTCAATAATTCTCAAGAGCTTGTTGTTAATAATGTGCACCTAGGCAGAAATCTCTTCACCCTTTTATAATCATAAATCTTGCGTTGGGGAGATGGAATATGATGAGAATAAAATACCTATGTGAGTATAATTTAATCAACTAGTCACACTTTGCATATGAGTGGACACCATGCAAATAAATGTCTCCATTAAAATTGGACAGCACTTAAGAGGTTTAATAATTCATTCTACTGCCTCTGCAAATAACAGAGCCAAAGCCCCTTTTGTGCAACTGCTAAAATATGGCAGATAATCGTGCATTTTTAGTTAATATTGCTAATAAATTTGAAAATTCACACATTTATTGATAAACATTTTCTGGAAATGCAGTCTACGAGGACAGATTGTTAAATTTAAGTACTTTATAAATGAGAATTGTAGGTGCTGATGCGATTGTGACAGTGCTGTGTCGAGAGCCATCTACCAACTTACCTGCACTCGTAAACACTCAGCAATGAGTTTCGTATTTCACTGTTATGTGCAACCGAATTGCGCTCCATTTGAGGGGGAAAATTAGCATGGTAACAGGGTAATGATCATAGTAAATATTGTGCTTCTCCTTATTGACTTAAATTACATACTTATAATAGTTCAGAAAAATATTTCTGTTAGTTTAGCTTAATATATTGAAATGTGTTGCCTGTGGAATACATCTATAGAAGAAATACTTAATTCTCTTATAAGTTTATGTCTTTGACGTACACCAAAAAAGGCATATTATGTGGTCCAGATAGTTTGGGGTCTAAAATTATTTTTATTCACTGGAAGCCATAAATCACATTAATATTTTCATCTGCATAGGCCATAATGAAATACCGCGCTGCTCAGGATGCCCAAGTAATGGTTTCTTCTTTGGGTTAGTTCTCTTGAAAATTTCAGAAATTTTTTTTAGAGAAATGAATTCCTACCTTAAAATAGTATTCCAGGATTCATCTTAAAATAGCATAGCGTGCTAAAATATAGTTTTTGTAGTGAAAGTTTTGCCATATGTAATCATTATACAAAAGTCTTAGTATTCTTTCTACTAATTGCCTTGAGTTGATTGGAACATATGATTTTCTGAATTTTATTTTGCATCGTTGGTGGACTCTGTGTCTCATTTCTTTCCTTTAAAGATTCCAGAACCTTATTTCATTAGAGATCCCCATACGTTCCTTCTTACAAAGGACTTTATTGAGGTATATGTGTTGTGCTGAGATTAAACGTGTTCTTTAGTCTTTAGCTGCATGCCGTGTACTCACAGGTTAACATTTCCACACCTAACCCCAGCTCCTAAACAAGAATAGTGACTTGGTTAACAGATGCACATTTGGAAGGAGATGCAAAGCTTGTCTACAAAATACTAACACTTGGATGATTCTGCACCCAAGCGAAGGGCCCCCAGTGAATGTTCTGGATTTTTCCGTGGCTGACGTGGGATACACTTGCGTTGTCAGAGTGCCTCGACCTCCCTCGTTGATGCTTACTGCCTATGACCATCACTGTCCTTACCCTGCAGGCCACAGAGGCGCAGATTCAGAACTTCGGACAGACACCATCCCAGTTGCTCATTGAGCCACATCCGCCTCGGAGCTCTGCCATGCACCTGGTAAGACACACGTATCGGCTTGTTGATCTTCGTTCTTTTTCGTACCTGGTAGAGATCAAATAAAATAGCGATTTTATCAGCATCTTAAAGGCGTCTCGATTTATGGGTTCACTCTTCACCTGGGTATATACTGAAACCCTAGAGAGAAACAGAGAAGGGAGTGCAGTCGTTACCTTTCGGTCCTGCTGACGCTGGCTCAGTTTTGGATTCACAAAAATAGCCATCTTCTCTGACTGCATCTGCCTCTACATAAACTCATTCATACACAGGCTCACAGACATACTCCTGCACCAAAATGAGATTAGGTTTATAAATTAGAGTGAGAAATACATAAATAGGACATATTGCCCAAGTTAACCTTTTGGGCAAGGTGGGATAAGGGAAGTAGCTCATTTTATAAGGAAAGGAAAGATGTATGAAAGTCATTTATGGTCCCTGCAGCGAGGCAGTTGAGAAGAGGGGTTAAGAACAAGGGCAGCAGAGCTGGACTTGGCTCACACACTGTCTCTGCCACTACCTGGGGAATGACTCCGGCAAGGTGTATTTGACTTCTCTGTTTCCATTTCGGCATCGCTGAGAATGTCACGACTCAGTAGCCCTTAGACCAGCGCCTGCCATGCCATAAGTTCACAGTACATGTTAGTGGGTGTCTTCAGTCATCCTTAGCTACTTACACTGAAACTTTTATTCCAGTTTGCAAGGGAAACAGTCAGAGTCTTTTCATTTAAATCTGAATTTTAAAAGCCGGTTTCACAAACAAGGCAGTCCTTTTTCAGTTTATTAGCAAATAGTAAACCTTTCTTTCTTTATCTAATTTGAAGAAGGTAAAACATTTTCTGATACACTTATTTAGCATTTATTTTTTTAAAATGTGATTTTTCACTATTTTCTCTAGTAAATGCTTGAAGGTAAATGTGTTTATAAAAGCTGTGATGAATTACAGCTCATCGGTTTTTCTAGACAGTTAACAAGGCAGCAAATACCCTAATTATGGAGAAAAGAGCTCTGGAATAAACTTGAGCTCTGCACAAGTTTATAAGCTGTTAGTTTGTGATGGAGGAATTGTTGACACCTTTCATTTTTTCTGTCAGTCACTTAACAAATTTTAGTTGTGTCCCTTCTGTGGGTCAGGAACAAGCATTGGCATATACATCCTCCATACCTTCAAGGAATCAATAAACTCCTAGTGAAATACATGAATAAGTGTGTTTGTTTGAAAACGTTTTTTTTTCTCGCAAGTTTCAGCCCTTTGATTAGTTACTAACGAACTGTTCTGACTGAATGGGTGGGTCCTCGTGTGACAAAGCAGAAAGGTTTGTGCCATGCACGCCGCTCCCATGCACACACCCAGCCGCAGTGTAGACACGGAGCAGAGGCCTTGGAGCCTCGAGCCTTGACATGAGGCGTTTTTAATAAACTGTCCAAGAGAGTATCGCTAACACTTGATTTTATGAAATGCTTTGGCAGAAGAGTTTTACTCCTGAGTTAGTTTTCTCTGCTTAATAATACTAATGATAATAATGTTTATCCTGGAGAAATGCCCAGTCAGAATTCATTACTTTCCTGGGGGAAAACGTTAGAGACTAAATTGGCATGAAGCTCTTTATGCAAAAAAGCTAAGCTTTCTAAGTTCATGCAGCAGACAATTCATATATACAGCAAATAATTACAAAACCTGTGTAAGACCTCAACAATGGTTACTTCCAGGAATTTCCACAAAATCGGGAGATTTTGTGTTTTTATATGGTAGTATTTACAGTGTTTCAAAGTACTTAATATAGTTATAGTATCTACTTTCTATCAAGTCATGTGTTGCATGTTTGAGAAACACACATTAAAAAAATAAAAGCAGGGTTAGCCCTCAGGAAGCTCACAATCTAGAAGGAGGAAAGGAGGCATGAGCCATCAGCAGACAGTAGTGCCAAGTGGAAGGTACAAAGCTGTGATGAGGGACGCTATTATATTCTCATCATGTAGACTTTAGCCATGATCCCAGATCAAGCAGAAGAAACAATGAAAGTATCAATCAATTCACTTTATATTTTATGTAAACAATGTCTTGACTAATTTTCCCACCAAACTGAGGTTTTAACTGCATTGAAAATGCATGCTATTTGGTTGTCAGAAAAGTCATAATGCATGTTTGTGACAGATGGCACTAGTTCATTTTTGGAAGTAGTAAAGTCATTGCCATCTATGTTATTGCTCTGTCATTTGACAGCTGACAGTTCTAGCTTCATTCTAAAAAAAATTGAGTGATTTGGTTGCGTTTTGGAGATTTTACAAGTTGAAGATGGAAGACCAAACTGTGCATTTTTGCCATATTTTACTGTTTTACATCCATAAAGGGAAGAACGTGGGTCAAGCTTGTGAAAAGTTGTATAATGTTTACGGTGACAATGCTCTACAAGAATGTCAGTGCCAATGATGGTTCTGTGCTGGTGATTTTGATATCAACGATGCTCCTCCGTCAGGGAGGCCCACTGAGGTTGATGACGACAAATTAAAGGCATTGATCGAGTCAAACCCATATTACACGATGCAAGAATTTGCAGAAACATTGAACTTCCATCATTCAAGCATTCACAACCACCTGAAGAAGCTGGGATACGTAAGCAAGCTCGATATTTGGGTTCCACATGAACTCAAGGAAGTTCATTTGATGGCACGTATACACATCTGCAATATGCTCATGAAACGTGAGGAAAAGGATCCTTTTTTGAAGTGACTGATAACTGGTGATGAGAAGTAAATTGTTTACAACAATGTGGTGCGCAAACGGTCTTGGTCCTGACATGATGATTCACCTCAAATGACATCGAAAGCAGATATTCATCAGCAGAAGGTTAGGCTCTCCGTGTGGTGGGATTTTAAAGGCATCGTGTTTTTCGAGCTCCTACCAAGGAACCAAACAATCAATTCGAATGTGTATTGTCAGCAATTGGACAGTTTGAAAGAATCCATCATCCAGAAACGTCCAGAGCTTGTTAATTGGAAAGGAGTTGTGTTCCATCGTGACAATGCGAGACCACACACAAGTTTGATCACCCGTTAAAAATAATTGGAGCTTGGATGGGATGTGTTACCACACCCACCATACTCGCCTGACCTTGACCGTCAGATTTCCACTTGTTTGCTCTCTTCAAAACTCTTTGTGCGGTATAACGTTCAATTCAGATGAGGCTATAATCAGCAGCTTGTTCAGGTTTTTTTGCAAATAAAGACAGGCCCTTCTATGAACGAGGAATTACAAAGCTCACTGAAAGATGGCAAAAGGTTATCAAACAAAACGGGTAATATATCATTGATTGATCTTTGTTCTTTATATAAATAAATGACCATTGTAAAACATAGACAAAATAGGTCATGACTTTTCTGACAACCTGATACATCATGTGGACATATCTATAAGCTAACAGCTCACCTTGCAGTCTGGCCATACTTAAATGAAGGCTGGGCGTTAATCATTCGGTGGCCCCTCTTGGTGACTACAGAGTTCCTGCTGTCTTCTCTCTGTGCCGTCCTCGCAGTACCTAAGTTCACACTGCTTTGTTCTCTGTGTGTGCTCATGCTAACTAACCTCATTTGTTTTAACCTCATTCTCCCCAGAGCTTTCACTAACTGTTAACCCTTCTGTTTTTTTCTGCTCTCTTCCCTTTCTATTCAACAGTGTTTCCTTCCACAGAGCCCACTCATGTTTAAAGATCAGATGCAACAGGATGTGATCATGGTGCTGAAGTTTCCATCAAATTCTCCAGTGACCCATGTGGCAGCGAACACACTGCCCCACCTGACCATCCCTGCGGTGGTGACAGTGACCTGCAGCAGACTGTTTGCCGTGAATCGATGGCACAACACAGTAGGTATGTGTGCCTAAGGAAACTACTCACTAAAGGGTTCATAAAAGCTGCAATTAACATAAGTGTGCTGGGGTCTAGCTCATATGCCAATTACCTACAGAGAGCAACAGAGTAAATAACTGCCAGACCTAACTAAGTGACCCTTGTCTGTCTTATTCACAGCTGCTCTGTTTTTGTGCCTCACAGAATGCTTGGCTAATGGTTAAGTATTCCATAACTATTTGGTAAATGGAAGCAGTTCTACAAATCAGTCAGGTTCTGCCACCCTACTCTATCACTGCCCCCCAGAAAAGAAACCAAACAGTTTATCCCATATACAACAAAAGTGAGTTTGAATCTGGATTATCTGGGTGATAGTTTCGAATCCGCTTTCTTCTACTTCATTAAGTTTTTTAGCAAATATTTGAATGGCCACTGTGTGTCAGAGTCCTGAGCACTGGGAGAACAGCAATGAACATGACAAACATCTTTCCCCTTGTGGAGCTTAGAGCCTTTGCGAAAGGAGAAAATCTAAATTATTCAGTGGTTTCGTGTGTGTTTTCTGCAAAATCATTCCTGAAAGTTCCAGCCAGTACATCTTGAAGTGATATAGTTCTGTCATAAAAATTAGACATGTCAATGCTTATTGAACCAGGACAGAAGTGGATGTGATTTAGTTGGCCCAGTTCACCACTTGAGATCTCCCTGGAAGCCCCAGGATGCCCTCTGTCTCCAGGACTGAATGGATGAGCCATGGTGTATTAAGCTGACTCTTCCTATTCTACTGACTTCTCATTGCTCTGGAAAACAAAGTGATTTATACCATAGCGTTTCTCCTAAGAGTTTCAAAATACACCTATTTTGTGGTTGTTGGTGATATTATCAACATGAGGTGGAACTATTTCTACCCAATCAGAAATATGCAGCAAATGTCTTAAAATATATATAACTATTATTCACAGGGGTCTTAGCCTCTGGAAATGTTTTCCATTGAGAGAAAATTAAAAAGAATTAAACTTTCCTTTAGAATTATTCAAAAGTATTATATGTTATATAATCACATGTTAAAAAATACGACAAATGGACTCAATCAAGCCCTAAACATTAATCCTCTGAAAGTAGCTTTTCCTGAGGTTCAGATTTTAGGTGTGGCTCAGATTTATACCTTCAGTTGACTTGTCGTATGAATGAAGGCCCCCTTGGGTGGGAGCCCCACCTTCCCCTCTGCCTGGCCCAGGTGAGCCTGTTTCTCTGTGCTCACACTATCCCTGTCTGCAGCATGGCCTTTTCTTAGACTTCAGGCTCATTGGTTACCCGGCAACCTTAGCTCTCTGATGGGTTCAAGAAATGTTATAATCTTCTATTTTATCCAGCTTACTCTTGTTGTTCAGATATCAACATTCTTCCCAGCTTTCTACATTCTGCATCTTAAGCGGAAACCAGCAGTCTCTGTTGTAATGATTTAAGACTATCTGCAAAGACTTGTAGTGTGACTGAATCATTCTTACAATAATTTACCAAATAATTTTTAAGTAAATACATATTTTGTATAATCATTGTAAAACACTGCTTGCTAGGAAATTTCTCCTTTTTGAGAAGTTTATGGTAGTTTTCTGTTTTTGTTTAACCTGTAGGCCTCAGAGGAGCTCCAGGCTACTCTTTGGATCAAGCCCACCATCTTCCCATTGAAATGGATCCGCTGATTGGTATGCTAACAACAAAAATACATTTTCATGGACGCTGACTATCCGTACATCCCTATGTGCTTATTTATCACAAATGATAGCTGAACAATACTTTTTCTGCCACAAAATTAAAGTGTAAATAGTATCAAATTACCATCCAGGAGCTATGCAAAACATAATATGCCATCTAAGAACTTTATGGTATTAAAGTAATTAGTTGTGACATTTTCTTCATGTTTTAGGGTGTCATTTAAGCTGGTTTTAAACAAGACAAATATTTCCAAACTGTCCTTTCTTTTAGCCTCCACTAGTCTTTAACATCTTTATATTATTTAAAATATATAAGACCTCAAAGAGATTATTAAAGCAAATGAATACTAAAGAACATCTTTTCTGGAAATCTTTATTGCATTGGGCTAAAACACTTTTTTAAATTAAAGACTTCATATAAATTGCAAACTCATCAGCTACAGATAACTCTTTGCAGAAAATATTACAAATATTTTTAAATAACCACAAATGCATTTATTAGCCCAATGATCCAGAATAGACCCCTTTATCTCTCTAGGCCTCAGCTTCATATCTGCGAGATGGTTTATAGGACTAATGTTTGTTCAGCCTGCCTCATGGGATCATACAGAGAACTAAGTTAGAAAAAAATTCAAAGTGGTACGAAGAATTATTAAACTATATGCAAGTTATGATATTTTTTTCTTATATTAAGTCACCCTTTATCCTTGAACCCAGAAATAAGATAAGAGGCAATCATTTCAGTTAGTTAGTTAGTTATACCCCTTACACAAAATACCGTTTACATGTCTTTGGGAGAATATAGGGTTTAGGACCAGGAGTATTTTTAGAATCTAGCTATTTCTCTGCCCAAGAGACATCCACAATGTTACATATAGGTAGAGTGTAACCATTGAAAAAATAATAGCTGTATTCTAATAAATGAAGGACCAATTATATAGTTTTTAAATGACTTAGGACCTGTGATTGTCTTTTCCTTTGCTACCTGTCTTGTGTAACTTTTCATTGTTTACCTTCTCTAGTAATTACTATTATACTGTTCGCAGATCTCCACAAATAGTAGCACTTAGATTTAATTGGCGTTAGTGATGGTCATCTCGTACATCTGCATTTTCTGTTTAGGAATTCAGCCCAGGGATTTAGCCTGAAAGGACGGTGGAGAGGAAGGGACAGGCTGGCATACAGACAGGCACTGGGGAAATCAGACAGTGTCTTGGAGTTCCTGACTTCATTCAGAGCCAGCGCTGTCCGCTGATTCTCTGCCTGTCTCTTTCCTCCCCGGCCCCTCTCCCGTCTTTTGCTTCCTCTCTTCCCCTGCCAGCCCATTCTGGGAAGGCCTTCTGTTTGTTGACAACCCAGTCTTTAAAGCTGCTGACCTGAAGCTCCCCGCGGGACTGCCCACATAACAACATCCCTTGCTCAAATCTCTCCCCTCTTCTTTTCACTTGTGTTGGAAATGCCATCAGAAAGTGAGAGATTGGGACAAACATGAAGACATTTTTTTTCTCTTATATAACATACCCCATAGAATATTATTCCTCATTATTGTTCAACTTGCTGGACACTAATGGACTTGTGCATAGTGAACATCTGTGGAGTTAAATGCATTTAGATATTTTCATTGTGCTTTAAATTCATTGTCTTGCATTTCTCATATTGTGTTTATTTATTGGTGGAGGAAGCGCTTGTATTTCTGACAATTTTTGAGTATGTAATATGGTTTATAAATAATCACTATTACTAAAAAAGTTTATATGCCTCGTGAGTAAATGTTAAAATCTTAGTAATCTGATAGCCTTAAAAACCCATTTCAGATAAATGAGGCTTAAAAGTATTCCTTCAATAAGTGCTTGGTGAAACTCATGTGGAATCTGTCTTTAAATTCTTTTTTTCTATTTATATATAGCCAATAACTCTGGTGTGAACAAACGGCAGATCACAGACCTTGTTGACCAGAGTATACAAATCAACGCACATTGTTTTGTGGTCACAGCCGATAACCGTTATATTCTTATCTGTGGATTCTGGGATAAGAGCTTCCGAGTTTATTCTACAGAAACAGGTAACTTTAACAATGAAATACCTGTTCCCTTCAAAATGCCTATTGTTACACCCGAAGCTTAATGTGAGATCATACTTAATGATGTAGGCATTTTTTATCTTGAGTGTCAAGATTCAAATTAAATGTTCACAATTGAAAGTAAATAACTAATTATTGTTCCATGCATTCTGAACTTTAGCATGAGCTCTGAGTTCACAGGACAAAAGGGACTATTGTCCCCTTCCCCAAATCAAATGCAGTAAAAGACTTTAAATCTTCCCATAGTCTGGCCCAAAATCTGAAGAAAAAAAAATCATGATTGTCTTTATCTTACAAGTCCTTGTCTTTAAAATCCCAAGTGACAGTTTCATGTCATTTTTCAGAAGCAATTTGAGAAAGCCAATCTGGAGCTTGATTGGAATTACCTTATAAATTTGCTGGTCTATAAGAGTCACTTTTCACAAATCTAGTAAAATAAAATTACTATTTAAAGTAAAATAGCAAACGAATTAAACCTGCCATGTCTGTGTTTCAGGAAAATTAACTCAGATTGTATTTGGCCACTGGGATGTGGTCACATGCCTGGCCAGGTCTGAGTCGTACATCGGTGGGGACTGCTATATTGTGTCCGGGTCTCGAGACGCGACCCTGCTTCTCTGGTACTGGAGTGGGCGTCATCATATCATAGGAGACAACCCTAATAGCAGTAAGTATTTGTCTAGAGCTGTCGAACTACAGATTCTTTTAAGTGTATTTTTCCCTTTTTATTTTCCTACTTGTTTTTCCTGGGGTTGGAAGGATTTTAAAGTAAGAAAGCTTAAGTGGCAAAGATTTCTGTTGTGATATAGCTGTGTTCCAAGTGTAAAGAGAGCAACTACAATAACCTTCAGCCTGGAGAAACTCCAGGTCCCCTCACATGGATCCTCTGCGCAGCTGCCCTTCTCCATCTCCAAGGTCCCCATCCTTCAGAACTTTCCCACAGTGTCACCTGGTCCATTAAACCTCCTATGTTTTCTCTCAGCTGAATATATTCTCTCCCTCCTCTGAATTTCCATATATTTTATTTGTGCTTCAGTGAGGGCAGTCACTACTTTCTACCATGTATTAGAATAAATATGTCCATTTATTTATTTCACAGTGATTAAATCTCCCCTTCAACATAGTTATTGAGGAGGCAAGTAAATGAATAAAATGATTTCTTTGCTTGGGATGATTCCTAAGTGTTTTCATTCAACAGTGCTCCCTAAGATATCCTGTAGGAAGGAAAGAAAGGGGACTCCAGAGAAAAATAATTTTAGAAAACAGCACATATATTCTTACTAGCTATATAAGCTCGAAAAGCCTTACAGAAATAAATCGTTGACATTTGTTTAGCCCACAGTTTCTGAAACATGTTTTTCCATGGAAACTTTGTTCATGGAAGAGCAGTTATTACTCCTTGGAGCTGTTGTTTTTTGAGGAAGCTCTGAAGTAGATTTCAAGTCTCTCCCCTTCCATCTTAAGTCGCTGGTTCCCGGCATAGTGGCACACATAGAGGTTTTCAATACATGTTGTTAAATGACTGCAGAACTAGATAAGATATTGCCTAGAAATAATTACTATTTTTACTTACCAAGCTTTCAGTAGTTCAAATGCACATATTTCCTGTAAAATAGAGAATGGTTTCTGTAAAACATTGATAATGGCAACTACCTAAACCTGGGCTATTCTAATTGTAATTCATACGTTGGTCATAACTTAAACAGTACTCCAAAATACTGAAACATGATTTGGGAGGATATTTATGATAAAACAGATAAGAATTTCCCAAGAATGCTGTCTATCTGCCACCGAAATATTTTAAGAGTAGATGAGAAACGTACAAAATGCCACGTTAACAACTGCATGGCTGAAGGCAGCCTCCCCTGGTCTATTCCAGCCTATGAGATAGCTGGGAATGGAAACCCAATTGTGCCTCTACCTTCAAGTCCCACCCACCCCCAAGTCTTATGCATGTTGATAGAAATACTGTAAAAATAGGAAATGGCTTTCAATTGATAGGAGCAAAAGCCCTATCATAGTACAGAAAAGAAGATAGATGATAGATAACATGGATGGATGAATGGATGGATGGATGGATAGATGGATAGATAGACAGACAGACAGACAGACAGGCAGACAGACAGTGGGAGATTGAACGAGATACTCAAATGTTCTGTGAGGTATTATTCTTGTTGCCCATAGTTAGAGTTGAACAACAGTAGACGAAGAAACTATTAAGTGATGTCTCTTAGCGTAAATACTGAATAAGAGAAAGTGTGTGCATTATACATTTCAGCCTCTGTTCTAAGTTATTCTCAAGCATGGTACATTATCACATTATTTTATCTAAATATATTTTCACATATTTCCAAATTGTCTTTATTTCCATAGTAGTTTTTCATTTAGAAAAGTTGGATTAAACAGCAGGTCTGTGTAGTATCTTCCATCTATAGTGAGAAAAATTAGGCATTATTAGAAAAAAGACTTTTAAAAAACAGAATGCTGCTTTAAATCAAATTAATTAACCTGTTTAAAGTGAAGCTCAAAAGTAATGGAAGTGGTATTTCCAAATTGAAGATTAATTTCTTAAAAACTACCACCTGGTAGCAGAGATAAGATATTTTATATAATGTACTGCTATGAGTAATGAATTTTAAAGAACATTGTTATTAAATTATAGTAATAATCTGTGTTAGCTATTTTATTTTACAATATTTTCTAATGATCTTTTAAACCAAAAGATGGTTAACAATTGATTATACCTTGGGTCCATCAGTTAGCAAGAAAAGTTAAATGTAGTAATATTTAGAGTGTTTAAAGTGTCTTACAACAGGAGCTATATAAATAGAAATGTTTATATTCACCCTTAAGAACAAAACTGTGACTATTGTATTTGTTAAAATGCAGTCTTTTCTTGAAGCTTTAAGACAAGATTACCCTTAAGAAATTACAACAGAATGTTATCAATACATAGTTTTCAGTATTATCTCCATATGTAAGAATTTATTTTTTTGATTAAAAACTGTTGTCATCATTATGAACTTAAACCACTTTCATAAAACCCACCTTGTCAAGAATTTATTGGACATATAATGTCAGCATATGTTGTATGGCTTTATATCAACCATGATCCTTAATATAAAGGGGGAAATGCTCCTCTAGAATAAACCGGATGAGCACAAAAGCGTTAGCCAAACAGCTGCATGTACTGAATGCTACTGTTGCTGGTACCCTCTCAGCAGTTAGGGATGCTGGATAGTCAAGATCTGAAGTTCCGGAGTTTGCAAGAACCAACATTATACTGATCACAAAACTGCTTTTCCTGCTTGGATGTACTGAGTACACTGAGTACTTACTACATGAATCATGAGTTGCTGTCAGGTCATATTTGGTGTCATAAGTACTCTGAGCATGACAAAATGCTTTGCCTTACCCCTTGGGTACAAATTGATGATTATGTGAAAACTGGTTTTGGCTGTTTTGCCATATGGATAATCACAGTAGTAAAAACAAACTAGTCATATTTAGTATTTGACTGAAATGATTGATGACTCGGATCTGTTAAAACAGCCAACCTAGTAGCACATATACCCATGACTAGAGAGACCATATATGTTGGTCAATTCACTTTTTGTAAAGGCAGGCAATCACAGCACGCACTGAACTGACTGTCATATCTGGGATCAGTCGTGGGTGTTGACACAGACATAGTTCCTGCCATCAGAAAACTCACAATATGAAAGAAAAAGATGTTTTTTCTGTTCCGGTTTAATCTATTGTAGCAACCAATTCACAGGTCAGAGAATCAGGCTGTATGTGTTTTCTATCTCATAATATATTGCTGCTCAAGACCAAAAAGCTAGTTGTGTCTAAATTCATATTAAAGTGTGTGACACAGTGCCCTTAGGTTTTGAAGGTTGTGTATATTAACCTAGACTTGAAGGAGGCAGTCCTAGCATGAAACATAATATCCCTGTAGCTCTTAGGATTTAAGAGTTGGTTTTGGTATGGACACTGAATTGCTTTGTATGTCAGAGGCCAGAATGTATTTATACAGCATAATGTCATAAAATTATAGGACTCATTTACTCACCTTGCATGCACATTGCTCAACATAGATTCAAGTGGCTTTGATATATTTATGCTTGTTTTGCATTGTCGTTTTATTTTAACAGATAGCTCTGTTAGTGGCACAGGGAAAATACAAGGTTTGTAGATTTTTTAGGTATGGAAAGAGTTTATGGTTTCATTGTGTCAAATATATTCTTGTGACTAATTTAGACATCTCAGAAAAAAGGTCTTTTATAGTTTCAATGAGTTTATGACCAAAACAATGAAAATTTATAAACAGATGATTACAAAGAGTTTCAGGCCATAAAAGAAAAAAAGCAAAATCTTTCTAGCCTAGGTTACAGTTGAATTATAGTTGTTTTATTAATAAATTTTATAATGATAATATTTATTGTTACTCTTTCAAACTTGTGACTTTGAACATAGGAAATATTCTTGGATATTTAAATAGGTCCCTGACTAGATAACAGAACTGCCGACATGTGAGGGACAGATGCTTTCATCTGAAACAGACTTTTACACAAATTCTGAAACTAATTTGGAAGTGATAAAAATTAATTTGTGCACTTTAATTGGAAGCAGCCCACTGCATGAAAGAAAGGGGAGCATACCAGGCAATTTGTGCTCCAAGCTGATTGAATTTTTTGTCAGGTAGGTATCTTGGACTTGGCCGCTTATCCTCCCGAGCCCCGCTTTGCAATATATTACAACCCATCTCTGACTGGTGTTCTTTAAAAGGATCAATGCTATTCCTGTGAAATCCCTAGAGCCCAGAATTTCATTGATCTTGGGACTTGACATTTCTCATTACGTGCTGTAGCTTCCGACAAGATAGTCACAAGAGGGGCCAGTCAACATTGTTGTCTCTTCAGCAGACACTTAGAATACATTGGGACCTCGGCTCAAAATCCACTCTGCTTTTCGAGTGTGTGGTTTTAATGTTTATACCAGATACGAGGGGCTTCGTAGAGAGCTAGTTGATACATGCATAGGACATTTTTGAAATCATAGCAATAGCAAACTTTGAAAGAAAATTCACTGTTCATGTTTCAAATCAAATCTACAAATATTCATGGAGTAATATGTGTCTAAGACATTGTCATGGTGCCTTTTCTATTTCACATTTTAAAAACAAGTCTTTTAACTATGGATAAACATTATGCAAACTATGAAATGAGAAGACCATTGAAAAGGCAGCTCCAGCTGTGCACACATCTCTTCCGGGTCCCATTGTGTTCGCTTCAGCTCTGGACACTGACCCTCCTGCCAGCCACAACCTGTCACAAAACATCGGCCAAATCACATCCCTCTCTTTGTTTGCACCCAGCCTTCTTTTCAAATAATTATCCTAATGCTCAGCTCCACAACCATCACTAACCAAGGGCATTATAAGAGATGAAAGCATGGACAAAGAATAGCCCAGAGGTATTCTGAATGTGTGTATACATATTACATGATGAATTTGTCTCACTTCTTAGAACAAGGATGCTTATCTAAGGTTTGGGAAGTGTTAAACCACCTTTTCATTAAGTATCAGAGGAAGCATAGTTACACGTGTAAGAATTCTTACCCCATAGGACCTTCTGAGGGCCACATGATGTCTGCAGTGTAACA